GGCCGACGCTCTATCCACTGAGCCAAACCGGTTTCGGCAAGCTCTTTAAATATTACAGGTGTTTTGTAGGAATTGGTGGACTTAGACATAAAACTGGTTCCCTTGTGGAACTGTGAGCTCCCCCAAAAAAGGGCCATAGCTCCTATCTTCTCCTGCATCTGGTTCAGGAATGTCTTTGTACATTTGCGAAAAGATGTATATTTCAAGTGTGAGGCTCAAACTACCTTCCTACTCTCTGGCTCTGGCCTTCCTGTCCTCAGGCCCAGCTCTGGCTCACCTAATCACCACGTGAAGTTATTGAAGAGTTCTCAGCGGAGAAGTCACATGATCTACTCAATGACTTATTTAACACTGAAGAGGCAAGGGCAGAAGCAGAGAGGCAAGTTAGGAGGCTCCTACAATAATCTAGGCAAGAGATAATGATGGGTTAGGCCAGGGTGGTAACGGAGGGGGTGGTAAAAAGTGGTTGGATAGGGATGTATTTTAAAGGCAGAGCTGCCATAATTTCCTGGTGGATTGGCAGAGAAATCAGGAAGGATTCTAAAAGTTTGGCCTGAACAACTAAATTAGAAGGATTGATTATCTCTGAACCGAGATGGGAAAGACTGAGGAACAGGTTTGAGGAATAAAATCTGGTTGAGTTTTGGACATAGAGATACCAGTTAGATATCCAAGTGGAGATGTTGAGGAGGCAGTTGGACTATGAGCCTAGAATTACAGGAGAGATCTGAGCTAAGTAACCATAAGGAGTCTTCACCATATAGAGGGAATTTAAAGTCTTCAGATGAAATGGGGTCACCTACAAAGTACGTGTAAATAGAGAAGTCTAACAACTATGCTCTGGGTCACCCTTCTATTAACAAGTAGGGAAAATGAGGGAGAACCAGTACAGGCCAAGCAGGAGCAGCCAATGAGAGAGGAGGAGAACCAAGAGAGACGGATGCCTTAGAAACAAGTGAAGAAAGTGTTTAAAGGAGAGAGATCAACTATGTCTCTTGCTGCTGAGAGGTCAAATAAACTGGGCACTCAGATTGGATAACTGATTTAGGAATATGGAGGTTTTTGGTTGTTTTTTTGGCAACCTTGAAGAGGCCCTCCCACTCCAGTGGTAAAGTGGGGTTAAAGTTTGATTACAGTGGGAGATCACAGTGGCTGCAGTATGGAGAGTGGATAGTGCTAAGAAAGTGTGGATATGAGTGACTGGTCAGAAATGGTCATGGGCGAGATGACTGGGACTAAAGAATTGATGAAAAGTGGATTCAAAAGATATTCAGGGGTTGGCATTAACAGGCTTTGGTAAGAGACTGGCTGAGAATCCAGGGGGTTAGAGTCGGAAGAGGTGAAGATGACAGCTATGCTCTGATTGAGTTTATGGAGATAAGTGCAGGCGGTTGAGGGTATGCAAAGGAACATGACAGGCTCATGTTTTGAATATAGTGAATTGTTTGTAACACATCAAAGAAAAGACATCTAGGATACAGTTGGATCCATGAGTATCTGCAGCATGGGAGAGAAGTCTAGACTGAAGATAGGGATTTGAGAGTCATCAAACTGTAAATAACAACTGAAATAACTGAAGTGGTTGAAATTTTCCTAAATAAATTCCTACAAGAGCAGAAGTCATAAGTCTGGGGAAAACAACATGCAAATTAGTTTTATATTCTTTCCTCCCCTTTTAGGGAAGTTGATAAAACTAGTTTGCTCATAATGGCTAAGCAAACAGAGCCAGAAGTAACTTTATTTTTTTTTATTTTTTATTTTCCTGGGAGCAGAGATGATATTTTCTTTTAAGAAGTAACTTTAAATAAAACCAGGAAGCTGTCCCCAGAAGAGGTACTTCATCACTAGAGGGAAGAGGAAGCTGAGGCAGAACTTGACAGATTCACAAGCAATGTGAAACCTGCTAAACCTGCCATCCTTCTCTTTATTTTTTAAAATATATTTTTATTCATTCCAGAGAGGAAGGGAAAGAGATAGAAACATAAATGATGAGAAAGAATCACTGATTGGCTGCCTCCTGCACGACTTCTACTGGGGATCGAGCCCATAACCAGGCATGTGCCCTGACCTGGAATCAAAGATATCCTGGTTCATAGGTTGATGCTCAACCACTGAGCCACACCAGCCAGGCTCCTTCCTTTCCTTCTTGAAGAGGCAACAATTATAAGACGAAACTGTCATGAGAAAGGTGAGCCAAGGGATGGCCTCTATACCCAACCTGTGTGGCACGTGGTATTCTACAGGACAAGCACCCTGTGAGGCCTGACAACCCCATCTGGCGGATAAGAAAACAGACTCAGGAAGACCAGAAGACTTGACTAATGTCACAAAAAGACCTGTATCCACTATACATGGAGTAGGGAGGGGAAAAAGCCTGCTCTACAAATTCTTGAAGTAGAGACAGTCTGGTGCAGTGGTTGCCAACCTTTCGGACCTCACAGACCACTGGTTGTCGACCGCTGGTCTGGAGGGTTTCAATGTGGAGTGAAGGATTAGGCCCTCCCTTAGAGCTTATGGTGAAGCCAGAGCAACTGAGCCAGCATTTACAAGCTCTCTTTTTGAGGACGGATCACTTGCCCTGGCCCGGAAGCAGGTCAGCTACAACACAGCCATCCCAAGACACTGGCTGAGAAGAGACCAGCAGCCTCTCAAATCCTCTTCTTCTGCCTTCAGGCCAAGGCTGGCCTTAGGAGGAGGCAGAACAGATGGAACCCTCAAATGGAGGTACAGGATAGGGCTCCTGTCCTCCCCTCATCTCTCACTTTGAGCTGTTGATTGTGCCTATTTTCTCTTCCTCTCCTGCATCTTCCTCTTCTCCCTTTCTCTACTGGATCATTGCATTAGCATACAGAAAGTTCTAGCTGGTCCCATATTTAAAACACAAAACCAAAACACCTCCCCTTGAACTCACTGCTACTCCAGTCACTATGCTGTTTCTCTGCTCCAATTGCCAAATTTATGGGAGGAGTTGGTGTCTCCATTTTGCCACCTTCAATCATTCTTAAACTTTTAATTAATATGATTTTGTGATTTCATCATGTAATGCATCAAAGAATCTATGTAACACATGTAAATTATGAACATAATAAAAATTAACATCTGTAAATCCACAAAACCAAACCTAAGAATTAAAACATCCCATATAATAAAGATATAATATGCAAATGATTGTTACATAATGACCAATGACCGACCCATAACGACCAGATCACAGATCAGCAGGAGGGTGGGGCAGAGAGCTACAAGCGGGCGGCAGAGAGCTACAGGAGGGGGCAGGACAGCAAGCTATGGGAGGGGTGGAAGGTACAGGAGGGCGGGGCAGCGGGCAGAGAGCTACAGGAGGGGGGGTGGAGGGAGCTACAGGAGGGCGGGGCAGTGGGCGGAGAGCTACTGGAGGGCAGCAGCAAGCTACTGGCGCATGGATTCATGCACAGGGCTACTAGTTATTAATAATGTTGAATAGACCTATGTGCTCCCCTTTCCTTACCCTAGCCCCTCTCCACAACTATAAACATTGTAGTCAAACTGTTGAAAACCAAAGAGAAAAATCTTAGCAGCCAGAGATAAAGGTCACATTACAGTTAGGGCAACAACAATAAGAATGATGGTTGCTTCTCACTGGAAACTGGAAATCAGCAGTGTAGACAGTTCTAAATGCTAAAAGAAACAAACAAAATTCAAGTTGTTCTACATCCAGTGGGAAAAAAAGCCTTTAAAAATTGAAGGCAAATAAAGATATTTTTAGACAACTAAAGCTGAGAACATCAGTTACCAGTAGATTTGCACTACATAAAATTCTAAAGGAATTTCCTTTACAATGTATGAATTCCCTTCATACTGAAGGGAAAGGCCCTAGACTGAAATCAGGATGTGAAGAATGAAAGAAACACAAGAAATAAGTATGGGGTAAATATAAAATACTGTTTTATGTCTTAAAATTTTCAGTAAGTCCACTTTTAAGTCCTTCAGAGACCCCAAGCTGAGATGATTAAGGTGCCCTTGCCCAAACATAATTCACAATTAAGTCTAAAATAAATCAGACACATAAAGAAGGTAGTAAGTTCTGATTTATCCCATGGTGACTATTGCAATGTTTTTTAAAAAATATATGTAATTCTTAAAATTCCTCCCCTCCCCCCAATCCCTTAATTTTTGGTGTCTCTACTTGTTGTGCCTTAAACACATACTTGATCCCTAGGTTAGCAGTGGCTGGCACCTAGCCAAGAGCATGACTCAGAAAATGCAGGTACAAATGCATCAAGTAGTGAGAAAGGCCACGATCAGTGAGGATGACCAACCTCCTGAGGTTTCCTGGATTGTGGGACTTTCAGTGCTGAAAATGGGACCGTTTTGGGTGTGAACTGTGATGATTGGTTACCCTAATGAGGACCCAGAAATGAGGTCTTGAGGAGAGAGCTGACCCTGAGATCAGCAGACAAATAATATTTGGTGGGCAAGAAAGAAAAGAGACTAGAGCACTAGCTGGTTTGAGCATTGGCCTGCGGACTGAAGGGTTGCAGGTTTGATCCCTGGTCCCAGTAGGGGTGTGTGCAGGAGGCAACCAGTCAAGTGTCTCTCTCACATCGATGTTTCTCTCCCTCTCCCCTTCCCTTCCATTCTCTCTGAAAAGTCAATGGAACAAATATCCTTGGGTGATGATTAACAACAACAACAAAAAACTAGACTTGTTCTTTAACTGAAGTGAAAATTCTTTCTCCCTCTCCCATATTTTTATCGTATGTTTAATAGATCAAAGACAGTATGTCCCCGTGGGAGTTGGCACATTATGAAGACGAAAACACAGGGCAGGAACATAAGTTCTGCTTGGCAGGTGAGGGATAACAGCTCCAAGTGGCTCACAGACCTCCCTTCCCAAGGGGCATGACTCACTGACACTTCACCCACTTGGCTGATAGGGGGAGAGGGAAAGGAAGCGGACAGTGTCTGTTTCTTTCCTCCAGGGTAATTCTCGCTATCAGGTAAGAGTTTTATTAGCCTGGTGTTATTTATAAGGATCCCGAGACTCGGAAACTTAGCTACTGCGTAGCAGATTAAGTATTTCACTCCCTGGATGTTTTGCTCACAAGCTTGTGCTTGCTGCTTGGACGTAGCCCCATGACCCTCAAGTAAATGCTGATGGGTATGTATGGGACATGCAAGGAAGATGCAGAGAGGAAAGAGGTGAGCTGATGACCACAACCAGACTAGGAACAAAGGCCACAAAAACGCAGAGTTCCTGGGTGGGGACTCTGAGAGAGGATGTACAAATCTGATAAAAACTGAGATGTGTGGGGACTTAGGTTGATCCATGTGCCAAATCAATGAGATGTCCTGGAAATGGTGCTGGGGAAGTTGAGGGAGAGAGAAGGAAAACCAGTAAAAGGACCAGACATCTAAAGGCTTCTCTTTAAGACTATACCCTCAGGCTCTTAGGGTACTTCTGCACTGACCCCATCTGTCATCAAAGTAGGCTCTGGGAAAGCATAAAAAATGTTTAAATGTTAATTGCAAAATGAAGTCTACTTAAAAGAAGGCACATTGGCTAGAAAAATACACCATAAGACAAGTGTCACGATTTTAAAGTGGTGTAATGAAAAGCATAGAGTTTGGAGTCATACATTTAGAGTGACTTACTAGTTGGGAGACCCTGAGCAAGTGACTGAATCTATATGCGTCTCTATAAAATAGAAATAATAATACCTTGTAGGTTGGCATGGGAAGCTCTGAGCCTCAGTTTTCTCATTTTTTAAATGGGAATAATAACAGTACCCATCCTCATTGGATCATTGGAAGAGTTTATATATGTAAAATACTTAGAATAATGTTTAGTGCATAGAAAGCATTAAATAAGGGTTAGTAATTATAATTAATAAACAAACTAATATATTTTGCCCATAGTGCATGTATTATTCTCTGAAATTATCGTTTTTTGTTTTTTTTTTAAAGTTCCATGAGGCAGGTGCTTTGTGCCTAGTTTACCCCGATTGAGAATAGTGCCCGGCAGGCAGCTGTACTTCACGGCACCTTTCTCCACAACATCACTGCAATTACTCTTTCAAGGCCACCAATGACCATCGTGCTGCCAAATCTGAGAAACAACCAATTCTCCACTCAGCACCTTGGATGAATCCTTTAAAATTGAATTAGCTCTCACTCTTCTGCTTAACACACTTAGATGGACAGCCTTGCCTTTAGAATAAAATCAAAAGTCCTTTCCATGATTACATGTCCTTTATGGTCTGGCGCTTTGACCTCATTATGTCAGTCTCTACGTTCCAGTGCCACGACCGAGTCAGTTCCTAGACCAGGCCAAGCTCTTTCAGCCTGAGGGCCTTTGCATTTGTTGTGTTCTCTGTTTGGTATATACTCTCTCCAAGTTGCTTACATGGCTCCTTCTCAGTATAGTACAGTAAATAGTTAGGAACACTGATTTTGAAATCAAATTTACTGGTTTCCAGTTCAGGCTCTACCACTTACTACCTGTGTAAGGCAAGTTATTTAATCTCTGTGTACTTCAATTTCTTCACCTTAAAGTAGGGAAAAAATATGTCCCTCCTTACGTTGCTGAAATATGTCAGTTAATATAAAGTGCTTGGAACTGTGCCTGGTACCAGGCAAGCACCACATTGGTCATCTTTCAGCTGAAATACGGACTCTTCAGAGACCCTGTTTTTAATCAGAGTACCTAGTACTCACCACAATCTGTAAATATTTTATTTTTTTTACTCTTTGTGCTCCATGAAGACTTGGAATTTGTCTTATTTACTATTGTATACTCAGCACCCAGCACAATGCCTGATGATAAGAATATATTGAATGATTAGAAAAGTAGTTATTTTTCTTGCCACCCTCAAGGAAGGTCAAGTGCTGTGCCAAGGGGGAAAAGACAAGAGCTGGGATTTGCACCAGTGTTCCAACCACCTAACTCAGCTGAGTGATGAATAGTTATGCGGTGTTCCATAAACAAATAGTTATGCCACTGGTATCCTCTCCATCCAGGCCTTACTCATCTGTCGAGTCTCCTAAGGTTGCATCTCCTGTAGCAGGCTTCCTCTGCACACACCCACCATTGCTCAGCGGGAGCTCCCACAGCATTAGGTATGCATTTCTTAGCTGAGTCCTGCTTTTATGCTTCTGCACTGTTTCTTCTACATCATCTTAGCTCAGGGGTTCTCAACTTTCCTAATGCCGCAACCCTTTAATACAGTTCCTCATGTTGTGGTGACCCCCAACCATAAAATTATTTTCGTTGCTACTTGATAACTGTAATTTTGCTACTGTTATGAATTGTAATGTAAATATCTGATATGCAGGATGTATTTTCATTGTTACAAATTGAACATAATTAAAGCATAGTGATTAATCACAAAACAATATGTAATTATATATGTGTTTTTCCGATGGTCTTAGGCGACCCCTGTGAAAGGGTCGTTCGACCCCCAAAGGGGTTGCGACCCACAGGTTGAGAACCGCTGTCTTAGCTGATGATGCCCTGCCCTTAACACTTTTGCTCTTCACTTTTCCTGAGCTCCTTGCTCAATGTTGGGCCCACAGAATACGCTCAGTACAAGCTTGGAGAGTGACCCCGCCACCTGCCTTTTCAGGAAGCCGGCCCAGGGTAGCTCTGCATTGTGTACACTTTCATGGACGAGATGATGACTCTACAGGAGAGAAAGTTCTCTTACCTGATCTGTTGTGGCTGGTGGTGGCAAAGCTGTAGAGAATGAGAGCATCCGCAGGGAGGCCTCCAACTGCTGGGGAGGCAAAAAAAAGTTGGGCACCACAATGGGCTCTGGGCTATCATGGTAGTTAAGGGACACATATACCTAGAAATCCTCCCACCTGCCAGACCAGCAAAGTCACTGGTCTCAATGATACCTATTCCTGCCCATGAATCCTTTGCTCATGGTTCCCTCTCCCTGGAAGGCCCTCCCTACTCCTAACAAATCATAGTCTATGCTTTCTTTATGGGTCAGTTTAAATCCCACCTCCTCTGGGAAGCTTTCTCCTGATCTTAGCCCTCAGTGATTCCTCCTTCTACAGCAGAGTTTGCAACACAGGATAATGTTTGATTTAGTGTGATATGAATCTCAATGTGTTTTTCTCAAAATCCCCCCAAACTTCTCAAAGGCAAAGATGGCATAGTTTCCATCAGTGACCTCACTACTTCCCTAGAGCACCACATGAGGCCTTCAGACAAGGTGGCTCCAAGGGGCAGTGTCTTAGATTGGAGGGAGATGCCTAGTAAAAAAGGAGGGTCCCCCTGGTTCTTTTCTGCTTATACCCAGAAATGAGGGTTCTGCCTAAGTGGGCACAGCTGGTCCGCCCAGTCTGGATGTAAGCCCTTGAAGGCAGATACTGGATCTTGTACTTCTCCTTTGTATACCTGCAGATATCCAGCACTGTGATGAGAATATCTGTTCAAAGCACTTACTCAGTTTGGGAGGGGAGGGATGGGGCCATTTTGATGTTTAATTTTTTGTTTCTGCTCAATAAGCTAAGTATGGTTCTGATTCAAATTGCTTTATCATCGTTCTCCCATGCTAGACTTTGAACTCCAAGAGGGCATAGATGATCTCTTTCATAGCCACATTCCTGTCACCTGGCATAGCATCTGGGACATAGTTAGTGTTCAATAAATATCCACCAAATGAATGAAATGCAGCATTTCCTGCTTTGGTTCAAGTCCCTGGCTCTTCTTCAGAGGCCCAGCTGCTCTGACTGCTGGGGACTCTGCCGGATAGTCAGCTGATGCTGTGGGGGAGGAATGGCTTTGCTGCGAGGTCTCAGGGGTGTGTCTGAAACACCGGAAGTCCCCCCTCTCCGCCCATCACCTCCTGCCTAAGGGTCCTGCTCCAACAGTATCTTCTGTCAATTATTAAATGATGACTTCAGGCAAGTTCACTTTTATGCCTATTTCTTCACCAGTAAAATGGATATACTAATAGTACCTTTTGTTTTGAGAATTAAGAGTTTATACATGCAAAGTGCTGAGAATGGTGCCTGACACATAGCAAGCATTCGATGCCAGCTATTCTTGTCTCCCTGATTAATGGGAAAAGGTTGCTTTTTCTCACTGTCCTTACCACTGGTTCCCTCACCCACTGAAAACTGCTTTGCATTCTCCATTTTGCACTGTCCTCTTTAATGCTAAAGCCAGTGAACACAGGTCAGTCCATAATCTACTGGGCCTGTCTTAAGTGTCAGTGTTGACAACTAATTCCTGAAACTCTGCTCCCACACCGCCTCTCCTGCTGCTCCAGCTCTGACCAGCTCTTCTCTGTGGGTATCTGTTCTGCCAACCGTTTACATATTGATCCTCAGGACTCTGTCTTGTGTGGTTCTCCCTTTCCGTGCTCTCCCTGCTGCCCTAATCTATTTCCACAACTTACCTTTCTATCTGATCTTGTCCTGAACTCCAGGCCTAAATGTCTTACAGGCACAGGTCCAAAATGGAAATCTGCTCTTTACCAGAATCTGTTTATCTCTATGTGCGGTTCCCTATCCAATAAATGACACCATTACCTAGTAACTTGTGATGGAAATATCTAAGTCATAGATACTTATCATACTTTGTTTTTCTCTTTGTCATCTTTTGTCCTTCTTATCTAACTAATCCTCTCAAATCTATCCCTCTCCTTTTCAACATCATTGATGTTTCTCTCTCCCCCACTCCCTTCTCTCTCTGAAATAAAAAGAAAAATATATTAAAAAAAATAAAGCAGTCTATGCTTTTGGTCAAACTTTCTTCTGGTCTCCTCTGATCTAATCCTCTCTTTACAGGGAACTGGGTGACTTTCCTAATATGTAAATCTGACCATATCATACTCTTGCCAGTTAACATTTACTGAACCCTATTTATGTACCAGGCACTGTACTAGGTAGTTTACATCATTATTTTAATTTTTACAACCACTCCAAGAAAAGGTCTATTATCTCCATTTTAAAGATAAGGAAACTGAAGTTTAAATTGCTTGCAGGATAGTCTAAGCACCTTAGCCAGACATACATGGCCCTTGAAGATCCAGCCCTACCTCACCTCTCACCGTGTGTTTACACGTGGGCTCTAACCACAGTGAACTGTTGCTGCCCAGAAGCCAGGCTCTCTCACCTGGCTATGCCCTGCACACACAATCCACTTTCTCATCTCTGTCTACAGAATGCCTATTCATCTCTGAGGTCTAGCTCTAATGTCTCTTACTGGGATACCTTTAAGCAGTTATGGCAGCTTCCTCCTCTTGTTCCCCAGCATACAGTCCATGTCTCATCACAACACTTAGAACACTAACTGTCATGGTCTGTTTACTGTTATTATCATTACCTCATAATGGGAACTTCTTGAGGTAAAATCTGATTAAAATCTCTGTTCTCAGTACACAGCACAGGGCTGGGCAATACTCGTTATTTTTAAAGAATAGTTGAGGGAAGGTCTGAATTAGGACCTGTGACTACTCCTCCACTGACCATAAATTCTGAGCACTGTAAAGGCAGCAGTATCAGAAGGTGCAATAAGGGAGTCCAGGAAAGAACTCCACCAGAGAGTTGGCTGTCAGTACTCAGCCTCCAGTCATTAAAGCCAACTGGGTAGGCTGCACATGTGAGGGCTGTTGATGGTCCTGTGGTTTCCCTTCCCCATGTGTCCAACTGCGTTTCAAAGGAGAAAGAAGGTGCCCCCTCTCCCCATCAACACTGCCATTTCAACTATGCCCACTTCCCCTCCTCTTGGCTCCATCACTTGCCTTTAAAAAAAAAATTAGGCAAATCACTACAACTCTGAGCCTGTTTTCTTACATGCAAAATAGAAATAATACCTACCTTAAAGACTTGAGATGATTGAGTAAAAAATGTATGTCAAGTGCCTGGCACAAAGTAAATGCTCAATCAGTGGTAGTACTCTTCTTTCCCATCTGCACCCTCCACTTCTATTTCTTTCTTTTTTTTTTTCTTAAAATATATTTTATTTATTTTCCATAGAGAGGAAGGGAGAGAGATAGAGAGCCAGAAACATCGACGAGAGAGAAACATCGATCAGCTGCCTCCTGCACACCCCCCACTGGGGATGTGCCCGCAACCCAGGTACATGCCCTTGACTAGAATCGAACCTGGGACCCTTCAGTCCGCAGGCTGACGCTCCATCCACTGAGCCAAACCGGTTTCGGCCCTCCACTTCTATTTCAACTGAGATTAAAAGTCTCATTCCTAGGGCCAGCTGTAAAATACCCAATATACCAGGACAGGCTAATGAATGTGCTCCCAACACCTAAACCCAGTTAAAAACACCGTGCTTCAGAGGGCTGGTGTTAATGGGAGAATTGGAGCACCTTGTCAGTGCAGGTGAGTCTTTTGAAGGATCTTCCCATGCCCCTCAGTGAATCCCATGAAGGTGGTAGCCACTGCTCATGCCCACTAGGCTGGCCTAAGCACCAGCATCCAAAATGCCTACATTGGGCTACTTGTGGGAAACCGTCAAAGGATACAGAAGGAGATTCTGCTTTGTGGAAACCTCTGATCCAGATGTCGCCTGCTTCTGCCTGATGTCAGGGCAGTTGGTGGGTAGCCCCTTATGATGTTCCCTTTTGTTCTGGGAGGCTAGGTGTAGAGGGAATTTCTCCAAGCTATTAGCAGAGTCACTTAGCTCACTGGAGGCAGCTTCATCCTCAGCCTGGGCCTGTGGCTTGGGCTCCTGGTCCTGATCTGCCCTTGGTGAGCAAGTGTTGTTCTTTGGGGCTCTTGAGAGTGTCACACCTGGAATGAGCTGAGGGTCTGCTAAGGCAGGCTCTCCAACCCAGGTCTTAGGGCTCTTACCCTCACAAGGAACAAGACTTTGGCTAGCAGAACCCTGCCTAGGCAGGTGGGAGTTGACAGCTCTTTCTGGACTGGACAGAAAGCTACTTCTGACCCTGAGCTCCTCTCTAAGGCAGGGCTCGGGAGAAGGACAAGAGGGGCCTACCCTCTGCACCTCATCAGGATGAAGGCTAATGATCTCACTTGAGTCTGACACAAAACTGGACCAAGGGCTAGTTTTGTCTGTTATGGTGGTGATCTCATTGAGTGTCCTGGGCTCAATGATGTCTTCTTCATAGTCTTCATCACTGTAG